TGCAGCTGATTCTGGACGCCGGCGCGGACATTGACGCCCGCGTGTTCGAAACGGGCAACACCGCGGTGCACGTCGCGACGAAATACGCCAAGGTTGAGGTGCTGAAGGAATTGATCGAGCGGGGGGGAAATGCGTCGGCGGTGTCCACTGGCGGCTTCACCACGCTGCACACGGCCGCGGTGGAGCCTGGGAACGACGCGGTGATGGATGTCCTGCTGGAGGAGGGCTTGGACGTGAACGCCACCTCGGACTTCGGGACGACGCCCATGAACGTGGCCATGGGGTTCGGGAACATCGGCAACATCGAGTACCTGTTGGCCAAGGTGGGCGTTGGATGGCGGACCTGGGGCGGATTGATGCGTCAATTGGCCGTTGTTTGCTGACGAGCAATGTGCAGTTAGGCGATGTTATGTTGCCTGATCAATGTGATCGCCTCTTGTGAACGCGGCCAATGCAGGAGGCGTGCTTGTTCAGACGAACAGGCGAAGATTGATGGACGCGAGCGGCCGAAATTCAGCAACAAGTTGTTCACTGTTTGGATTCGATTGTCATGGGAGCAGAATCAACCTTTTCAGCAAAGAGGAAGAGATTCACAAAACAGCTGGAAACTCTTTCAGGAAAGTAGGACGAATTGTCCGGTCGTACTCTTCAGCAGTAATGAGCACAGGCATTGTACGAGTAAACGTATGCATTCACGCATATATGTAGACATGTTGTGTAGTGGGGTAAAGTGCCCAAATAACAGAACAAGTGTTCGCTGAGTTTTGTCCCCATCACAGGATGCAGATCCATCCCCGAATGGCGTCGTGATATGTGAGTGCCTGGATGTCGAGGTCGATTCTGACTTCACAGCCTGCCCTGATGGGAACTGTGGAGAAAAAGACATTGAAGAAATCAAGGAGCTGCTGGGAGTGGCGGATGGCGGCCACGAGGCAAGTGTCTAGTCGCGGATGTTATTGGAGAATATGCGTGCACAGGGTCCAACTCTATCAACAGATAGACACATGCAATTTGCGCCATGGTCGTCGCAGACAACATGGGTGAGCACGAGTTGGCGTATTCCCGTTTGGCTGATAACTTGCCTTGTCAGTGCTGATAGGGAAGACCCCGAGCTAGCCGGCGTCATGGAGTCATGTGGTGTCATGCCGTTTTGAAATCGAATTTCTCCACCAGTGCACGGCACCCTATGCGAAATAATCAACACCCCTCTGTCCTTTGCCAATCGTCAAAGGGAAAGTGTACGCCTGGCAGAGCCGGCCAGATCCACGAGCAGCTCAGAGCAGGCGCTGCTTTCACTTAACAACTGGCCGCCGATTTTCGCGTGTGCTTTGTAATAGAAGACCTGTACGGGTCGTACATGCTTACTCCTTGCGTTGGTATGTGCAAAAAAATACTGCCATGTTAATGCTTCGCATTTTTCTTTTCAGAGCGTTATTTGATGTTGCTCCGCAAAAGTCTTGTGACTTTTCTCCGTACAAAAGGCCAAGCGTTGCGTTCCTATGCGGAAAAGTTGAATATTTCCCGCTGCAAATGGCAATATAAACTGCGCGTCTTGCCGTACAGAACCTGTTCGACGCGGTGGTGAACGGCGACCTGGAGAGCGTCGTCGCCCTGATCGACTCCGGCGCCGACGTCAACGAGGTGGACTTCGACAACGACACGCCCCTCATCATCGCCGCGGACAGGGGCCTTGTCGAAATCGCCGTCGCTCTCCTTGACGCCGGGGCGGACCCAGATGCCAAGGGGCCCATCGGCGCCACGGCGCTCCACCTGGCAGCGTACTTCGGCCACGCGGACGTCGTGGAGGTTCTGATCCAAAACGGGGCAACAGTGGACATTAGAAATGATGAGGGGTTCACGCCGCTTCATCTGGCTAGCCAAGAGGGGCACTTGAAGGTCATCAAGGCGCTGCTGGCGGCGGGCGCGGACATCGAGAAGATGACCAGGAAGAGCGGCGCCACGCCGCTGCACCTGGCGGCCACCAGCAACCAGGTGGAGAGGATTGCCCGATGTCACAGCTGCCGAACCTGAAGGCCATGAAGGGTCTAGGGACCTAGAACCCTAAACAACCCAAAATGCCCCAAACACCCTGCCCCTAAGTTCACATTTATTGCTTTCTGCGTTGCTCGCGTTATGTGCTCATCACTTCGGAGACTCTGTATCATCTTTCTACAGCATGGAAAGAGTCTCGCATGTACTAAGAGGGGCTATCATTTGTGTGACCTGTTTCAGTCTCTCTTTGTTACAGATCTTATCCCAAACACCCTAAGCACGCCATGAACCTCAGGCCTTCATGGCCTTCACGACCTCACAACTTCATGGCCTTCATGACTTCATGTCCGGAAATGAAGAATGTAGGACATTTCTGCAGGTGGACGCCGTGGCGCTGCTGTTCGAGGAGGGCGCCGACCCCAAGGTGGTGAACGACTTCGGGCTGTCCGCGCTGCACGTGGCGGCGCTCACACCGGGGACGGAGGTGCTTATGGCGCTGCTGCTCGAGGAGGTGCGGGGGGAGGAAGAGTGGATTGAGAGTTTGCACTGGTCAATTGTTGCTTCATAGTAGTAATCGAATAGTGGGATAGGGAGAAGAGTACATGAACACAAAAATACCAAATAACACACTATGCGGAAGACAAGAAATTTGTTATTTACAACACAAGATGAATTCTTATTATTGCATTGTTTTACTAGGGCGAACATACTCCGCTGTCTCACAATTCGAGCTTGTCACTCATCACAGAATACATTTAGTAAGCGTAATCTCTGATGAGTGGCAAGCTCGAATTGAGTGATGGCGGATATCACGGCGAAGATGCCATTGCAGTTTTAATTTGAAACTTGAAATGCCTAGAAAACCATCGCCTGCCCGTTCCTGGCGCTGGGCCTTGGGGCGCCCTTAGAGTCACCAGAACACGCTCTCGCCGGCCAGGGAGCAGGTGGACTCAATTTAGAAATTAGGGCGGCTTTGATTTCTCGATCGCTTGTTTTGTCCGGCCCAGTGGCGTCCGTCATCGCCCAGCGATCCTGTGCTAAAAAAAGAAACAACGGCAGCAAGTCAACCCCGCGGCCCATCGCGGGCACCCCTTCCAAATTCTCCCTCAACGGCATCCACCCCGACCCGATGGTCCCCGTCGATGCGCGAATCGCAGGGAACGCGGTTTGGCCCAAACTGGGCAACACGGCCCCATAACAGCCGCCTACATCCCTTGCCACTGTTAGCGCCTTCCCTCGTTTCTGTTTCGCTGAGGTTTGGGGGTGGATACTGTCACCGGGTCATGGATACTAACGTGGTTTCAGCCCCAAAAGAAGTGGGTGGATACTAGTAGGGGATGGATACTGGTGCCGGGTAAATACGTGTATGATTTGATCACGACGAGCACAAGCTGGTCGCCAGACTTCCTGTCTCATGTTTGAGTTGCGCGAACTATACCACCATGTATCTCAATTCATCTCATGCATCTTTGGTACGTTGCTGTGATTTTTCTCAAATTGCACCGAAATGGCAAGAACCTCAAAGGTGGAAGCACGCCGTTGTTTCAAATGCTGCACAATTATTTAGCATAAAAAGATCGATTTTGTGGGAATATCTGCTTGACCTATTCCTCACTTGCGTCCAGGGACTCGACGTCAACATTCAGACGACGGAAGGCGTAACTCCGATCGGCTTCGCGGCCTACTACGGAAACAAGGGCGGCATAGAGTTCCTGCTGTCCAAAGGGGCTAATACAACAATTGGAGCGGACAGCCCCGTGTTTTTTGGGGAAGTTTGCGGTTGCCTCAATGATGCTGAGCTTGCAGCGGCGCGGCAGTGCCCGGAGGGGTCTGCTTGCAACTCCGAAAAGGACATTGCCGAAATCGAAGAGGCACTGGGAGGCAAGCCTGGCGCTGGGACCTCGGCGGGCGGGAAAAGCCGTCCGAAAGGTGCCGCTTCCAATGCTATCGACGGAGAAGAGAACTTGTGTGTAGCTCTCCCCACTGTCTTGGCTCGCCTGGAATGCGTGGCAAAAGACGCTGAGCCCAAGTGATTGATGGAGGGCGGCAAGAGGAAGGCTCGCGAAGGAGAGTCTCGCCGGGCAAGGGCATCGCCACAGCAACGCCCGCGATATTGAAATTTGATTTGCTCTTGAGGAACTGGTTATGGCAAACAATAAACCATAGGCTGTCAAGAAGCTGGTGCACATGGGGGTGTCCCGTTTCTCTTATACGTTGATCCACAATTGGTGGAATTGGCGACCGTGTGAAGCCCGTGGCTGGTGATGTCTGATTGGGCGGACTATGCAGCGGGTGGAGGTATCAAACGAAAGGCAGCTGGGGCAACGACGGCGGCGGGTGCTGCGGAAGGTCAGGAGGTGTCGACGAGTTGCGTTTGGTGTCTTAGGACATTCCAATTCCGGCGGGTCGCTGGTAGTTATCAATGTTGCGGCAGCCTTGATGCAAGGTTTCCAGACCAAATGGCTTAGCCAGGAATTCCTATCTGACAGGATTGAAGGGCCTAGGTTGTAGATAAAATGTGACAAAATGCTGGAGTATATCTCAGACAGGGCCATGGTCCATGTCGTGCCGTCACAGTAAATAAGAATTGTTTTGAGCGCTTTCCTATTTTGCTGCGAGCTGGGTGTGCATTGGTGCATTTGTGAATTGCGAACAGCCAATCTGTTTTCAATGAAAATCGTTTGTCGGTGTTTGTGTGGGTGGGGAACAGCATGTGTGTCGCCGCTGCTGTGCTGGATGTGAGACCGGCATCCCTACGGAAATTGAAAACCGTCTCATAGCAATTTTGGTAACTTGTTGCTCAGTTAAGTATGAAAGGAATGTGTACCGAAAGACAAAAGCACAGCTTTGAAGATATCACTACCAGAGAACAGGATTGCTCTTTACACTTGTACTGAAGGGCATCGAACGCGCATAATTTAAACATTATTGTAAGGTTATCATCTTGTGCGCAATTTTCACACAAGTGATTCGTATGCCACATTGGCACGCTAACACACTCGCCCACCACTTGCGCGTGTTTACGACTAGGTTCTACGCAATAGACAGAGCTCCACGTCCCCGGCCACCGAGCGCTCCATCTCGAGACTCCGGCCACGAACTTCGGTGGGCCGTGTCCCGGGTGAAACTCCAGGGCATGCACTTGCTTACACATCGACTTGCATGCTTCCAGTAGAAGTAGTTGGGAGGCTGCATCTGCACGGAAGTCCTTTGCTTGGCGGGAGACGTCATGCTATGGAAGCAACTTGCAGAGCACCGCCTGCGTGCACTCATTGCCCTGCCATCCCTAAAGCAATCGATCAGCTCGGCGACATGCAGAGCGGCGGCAGGGCAGCTGCAACACTCGCGCACACACTTTTCCTCGGAAAAAGTTGTCGTCCTATGCCGGCGAGATTTCACCTTGTCTTTGATGAAGATTCTTGTTTCAGTGTCCTCACTTTGTTCGCACTAGTGCAAATTCAGGACAGAAAGTCTCCGGGGGGTCGCTGCTTTTGCTCGCTCAGGCTGGCCCGGATGGCCATGTTGACGGGGACGTGGCCATGCCCTTGTTAATGCATCTTTGAAGGCAGAGCGCTGCACCGCAGACGAAACCTAGGCACACGACGCGGGCCACGTGGGGCTCCATTATGTGAAGTCCCTGATCAGAAACCAGCCACCCAAGACACTCTTGATGTTGACGTTGCTGATCCAGGCGCTCAAGGTCGGTAGGCATTCTGGCTACGCCCTGGCCATCCAACTGTTCCCGGCTATCCTTAGAGAGACCATGCGGGCGCAACGGCAAAGGGCGGGTGCAGAGGTGAAATTCTGAACGGGCGTCGTGGCTGCGTTTCCAGGAAAATGCACTCAATTTACTGGGGATCCTAGACGTTATTTCCTAAAAAGCAGTAAGAATGACGTGCCAGAAAGTTGGACTTCTGACCTGTCGGGGGTATTGCTTTGGGAAACAAGACCCATCTCCAGAAGTGCGTTTTCATGGGTGCTCAATGGTTCCCATTCACCAAGGAGCTTTCTCATCCTGGAAAGTTCCCAGAGTGCAGAATATTGTTCAACAGCATCCGCAACAACATCGGCCGCTGCCATACACCAAGTGATGGGTGGTAATACCAGTTTGGTGAGCAGAGAATCAACAAGGGCGGCACCGAAATTGCTACAAAAAAGGCTGTGTTTCTATTGGCAATAGAAATGTTAGTACCGCCACGGAGTGCAGCACCACCAAATCCACCAACAACCAACTCAGTTCACTCAACCATGGAAGGACTCGTCAGCTCGGAAACCCATGGTGCAGCAGTATTCGCCTTGATGTACAAACCGACAGCACCCCATCGGCACCTTAGTAATTCGAAGCCATACTGCAACGCCCTAGTGCAGTGCCCGCATAATGCCCAATAGGGAGGCTTCCCGGCGCACCAGTTCCCCACCTGTCACCACACTCATCCCCAATGCAGTCACACCCCGTTGGAGCACCACGCAGCCCAACATGCTGTGGCAGAGCACATCGTACGGGAGTTCTAAGTCCTGGTGCGGCATCCTAAGTGTTTTCAAAGCACAAATGGTGCTGTCAGCATCAAACAAAACGCCCCTACGATGCACAAGTACCTCCCTCGAGGACGTCGCATCTAAACAATGCTCGTCAAAAGGTCTTCTTGGGCGTGCAGCAGCTTCATCAAGCATGGCAGCACATCTACGGACCCGAAAACTCATCACTGTTTCTGGGTTTTCATCAATGACCATGGCAATTCATGAGGGATCAGCAGTAAAAGTCATCATGGTGACAGCATAGGTGCTCTCTTGGCAGATTATGGAGCTGATGAAGATCATCAACGTCCCAATAAGCGTGTACATGTCGCCCCAGCATGAGAGTCCTCCAGCAGCCCAGCATAACTGTGCTCGGTCTCTCAACATACAAAACCTTGAGGCCGCAACTTTCCAGCAGCAGCTCCACCAAGGAATACACGTCGGAAAAAAGTTACATATCCTAGGATATGGAAACGCCCATATCCTCACCCATATCCAGGATATCGAATATGATATGGGAGGATATGCATATCCTGGATATGGGCGGCCCATATCCAGGATATGGGCGCCCATATCCTGGGATATGGCAAGGATATGGACGAGGATATGGGCCATATCCCAGGATATGGGAGCCCATATCCTGGATATGGCGAGGATATGGGAGGGATATGGACGAGGATATGGCATATCCCAGGATATGGGAGCCCATATCCTGGGATATGGCGAGGATATGGGAGGGATATGGACGAGGATATGGCCATATCCCAGGATATGGGCGGCCATATCCTGGGATATGGCAAGGATATGGGAGGATATGAACGAGGATATGGACGAGGTTATGACCATATGCTGAATATGTGGCGCTCACAATGGGCGCGTACGGTCGTCAACGAGAGGCGCACACAATCTCTGAAACGAATTGCTTTACAGATTTTACAACAACTGCAAATCAAATTGCGTCCATATCTCTGGCCAAGCAACTACCCATTAAATCATCCCCCTCTCAGTTCTCTAAGCAGCTATCTATTATGAATGCAGTGACAACACAACTCCCATTAACCATTCCTTTGCACCGATGCCTGCCAGACTGCCACCCTAGTTGAGCCTTGGCACCATCATGCAATACTGCACCAGCAGCCCATGGGTGGCCACCACCTGTGTCGACATCACCACACCATCCTCGCCGTCACCACCTCTCCACCTGTCACACACACTTGCACAGTGTCAGCACACACCAGCTCCCTGACATGTCACACAACAATCTGTGCAACATTGCCATGAATACAACCTTACCCTGCCGTTTGCTGATTACTGCAACCCTAATCGATGAAACTTCAAAACAATCAGCGGGCACATCCTCCACAGCAGGCAGACACAACACATCCTCCACGATCTGTGCAAGACGTGACGGTGGGCAGGTGCAAGTACAAATATCTGGGCTGGCATTGGTTGTGCTCTGAGATAGAACCACCTTGTGACTCTGCGGTCATGCAGACAGCGGTCTCCAGTTGATGGGGTGCTGCCGACCTTTTCTACCCCATGTCGCTCCAGCAGTATGTTCTCAGGCTTCAGGTCTGTGTGTATGAGCTTGATCTACTGCATGTATGCAATGGCTTCCAGCAACTGCACCACAGGAATGGAAACTGGATGGCAGTCAATCTGCTGCAGGAAATAGTACAGGCTGGCTCAAGCCTTTCGAAATCCTGCAGGACAAAATGGAAGAAACCTTTTCGATCATTTCCCTGTGAAAAGACAAGCTTGCCGCGTGTGCAGACTGGAAGCAAGTGGCACAAGTCTTTGTGGCATGACTACAAAAACTGGAAAAGTTTTTGAGATTGAGATGAACAGCCAGACGTAGTACCATTCCTGCACAATCACGGACGAACACACGCGGCGACCGTCAGCCACCGGCGGCAGGGGTGTCTCGATCGGGCTGTGCGGTGAGGCGAGGCCGGGGGCGCACCTTATGCGGCGGGCTGTACGGTGGCGAGGGCTTGTCCGGGAACACGAACGCCTAGTGGTCGGCCATGGGCAGCAGCCTCGGCCGGGCGATCTCCCTGCTCGCCCTCAGCAGCCGCTGATCATCCACAATCTGCCACCCGCGATGCGAGAAGCGAGAACACTCGGCACCGGGACACGGCGATGCGGACGGCGGGCCAGGCGGGCGGCGGGGGGCAGGGGGGCAGACCTCGTCGTTGGATTGCCCCGTGCGGTGCTTCTTGTTGGGCAGATCGGCGGGGAGGGAGCCGTGCGACTCGCGGGCGTGGGCCGGTGGCCGCGCGTGCCTGTCCTTGGAGCGCGGCGTCTCACTCGGACCAGTGGCTGCCGTTGCTCCACGCCGCGGTAGCACAGCACGGACATGGTAGCACAGCACGGGGTAGGCGGGGTTTGGCGGGAATGACAGAAACTAGAACCTCTAAATGACGGTGGACATCTGCCGGTACAGCGCCGGCGTAATGTAATAATGCCAGAATCATTCTCACTGATGCCTGTCAGAATAGGCGGCCACCGCCGCATG